CTATAAGTAACTTAAATTTAAATTACTTGTTGTTTTTTGGCAAACCTATACCTGAATTTATACTTGGATAAGAGCGAAATATTTGTTTGAAACTTTAGTAATGTGGTTTGTTAAAGAGTATAAGTCTAACTAGCTGAAAAGGAAACACTGGATTAACAAGAAATTCATGAAACTACGAGGCAAACGACGTTCTGACTGAATGTTGCTGAGATAGGTTTCTGTCAAAACCGTTAGTTCAATTTTGGTTTCATTAATCTCTGATGAAAAATGAAGAATTTGTCAACTCTCTGAGTTTATGAGTCTTTCGTCATGGCATATTTGGTTTTTGACACTTGCGTACCGACAATCTGGTTTTGAGTCAGTAAAATCATTTGCTGTAGTTGTTTGCGCCCTGCCATATACTGCTTATCCGCTTAGAACAGTATTAAGCGCCGCTGTTTACTTTCGTAATTCTGCTTTGTACTTCAAATAGGAAAAGTTTTTATTTGAAATTTGCTACTCGGTGTTTGTAATCTTAGTATTTATTCGAAATACTTCAAAGTCAGTATACTAGTAATTAATGCGATAAATTCTGTCGGTAAGTAATATCAACTGTGTTATCCGAATGCTTCAGACCGGAGCGCATTCGGCTTTGACGGTACAAAAAACTGATAAAATTGTACAACAAACTAGAATAATGACTTACTGTTTCACCATGGCTGCTACAGTTCTGCATAAAAGAAAGCTGCAAATTCATAATTACTACTTTGTCATACAGGAGACTATAAAGCTATGTAGAAAACATATAAACTTATTTGAAATTCAGAAATCACGAGGAAATCAAAGCAAAATTTAATGAACATCTAACATACAATCGAAGCATTCGTAAAATGGTGCTTTTGGGAGAAAATGTCGTTTGTGACTCAGCAAATATATTGTTGGTTTGAATTACAATATTAAGCGTTTATCGAAGTAAACATAGCTGAAAAATTCTCATTGCTTTTTAAACACTGAAAACTGTAAATATTTCACAGCTATCATCTAACGGTACTTCCAGATTCTGCAAACAAGTATGTGATTTACAAAATTACAGCAAGCCCACAGTCGAAACCTGAATTTTGTAAAGGTTTTGAGAATGTCAAAAAGTAAGAATTAAGAAAAAATGTATCTCCTAATATAGCAAGTATAAAAATCAAAAGCGAGCTACGTTTTGGATTCCTCATTAAATTCAGCTTCAGTTCTTCCAGTACTTCTCAGGAAGCAACGTGGAAATTAGAGTATTACGAAAGTAGCCGGAAAGTTATTAGCTCATATAGAACTGTTGAGAGCGATACGCAAGTTTACAACAGATTTAATGGCGAAATAGTTTTTTTGGAATTCTATATAATAATATATTTTTGTAAAATTGTGATGTGAACATTTAGTGCACATCCGTAAGTGTCAGATAGTTACTTGTTTATTTTAAAATGTTAAAAGCTTAAAGTGACCATCAAAGAACAGCAGTGATACAAGGAACAAAAATACCATTGCTATTATTTTCATTATTATCCTTATCGATAATAATAATAATAATAGTAATAGTAATAATAATGATAATAATAGTAGTGGTAATAATAATAATAATAATAATAATAATAATAATAATATTATTATTATTATTATTATTATTATTATTATGTTACTGTTGTTATTGTTTTTATCATTATTGTTGTCATTATTGCTGCAGTTTTACAAACCCTGTAAAGGTTACTACTTACTTCTGTAATTTTATCTGAGCAAATAGGTAAACTAAAGGAAGGAAGATGCAGCTGCACCCGGAGGACGTGCATAATTGAACAACAGAATAGAATATAGTTCATCGTAAGCATCATCAAATCCTGTTCAAGGTAAATTATCACGTCAGTGTTGATCACTGTCACCGAAAGATGGGCCTATAAGTGAAAAATGTGAAAAATATAATAAATTACTTCCTGCTTTATTTTGCAAAATAGTGACAGTTCGCAGACTGTGTTCTACCTTATTCTAAAGGTCACAGAACACTAAATAACACTTTTTCGGAAACTTAGTCGAAAGTTTTAATATACAGCAACTCGAACGTGTCTCAAAATGACAGTTTGTCTCGCAGCAGATAAACTAATGGTCAAATCAATTAAAGAAAACAAACGATTTTCTGCATTCTGCCTTTTATAGTTTTCAAACGTTCAATTGCGGGTTACGGAAGTTTAAATAATTGAATGGAGGCCAAAATATCGAAAAAATTGAAAAGTGAAAGTTGGTCTAGGAATAGCACTGATAAATGAAACGCGAGAAAAGCACAAAGAGAATTCATAAATATTAAACCTAATTTTGGGGGAAACACCGCAAGAGGTGATCAAATTAATGATTCTACTTCGCTCGTTGCAACAAAGCCATTTGGGCATTTCTGACTTGGTGGATAACTGAAAATCACTAGAACTCGATTCGCATTTAATTTTGTTAAGCCTCCAAAATCAACAGCGAAGAGGATCAAAAAGTCGATTTCGTTGACCTTTAATGGCTATAAAAATCAAATAAAAAGACTGGAAATGATTCTGTGACAAAATAAAAAGATATTGGTAAAAAATATACTGATAGTTCTCTCTGTATAGATCATTTATTATATTTGTACTAAAAAATCAATGTGTCCTTCGCCCTGAACCAAATGTGGTTTTTCTTGTTGCTATAGAGACGCTGAAGAGCAAGCTGCAATTTCGCATGAGTGTTTTCAAAAATTTCTTTGAAGAAGCACTGTTTAATAGTTTATGTATGCAAATTTTTGTTATCTGTTAAAATAAGCATTCTATCTGAAAAGTTGCCATTCAGGCTAAAACTGAACTTATTTTCTAGAATAGTTTATCCCAAAATGGATGCCGGTTATTCATGGGGGCATATTTGGCAAGACAGAGATATTCGCTTCGATCTTGAGATAAAGTAATTCACTTTATGGATCTACTTATCATTTGCAGTTTCTGTGTTCTTGTTAAAAAAATCATATCATTTTAGGTGTTTGCGTTTAATACCTGGTGAAAAATTGTTGGAAAGGATTGATTCAGTCGAGGACACTAAAGGTAATAATGGCGATAGAGGAACACTCCGAATCACAAATATTCGCCTTATATGGTATGCAAATCAAATGCCGCGAATCAATCTTAGCATTGGGTTAATAATTTTACCTTTTAATTTGTTTATTTAAATTTGAAATTTTGTATTACTCGTTAAATTTTTATTTGAAACTGAGAATAATCGAACAAATAAGTAATTTCCATAAATATTTTTAGATACAATGCTGTTAAGGGAATAACGACTAGAATGGTTAGCTCAAAGCTTCGATGTCAGTGCGAATCCCTGTACATTGTAGCCAGCAATGCAAATTCTCGATTCGAATTTATATTTACGTGTTTAAATCCTTGGCAGGTGTGTAGATTGTTCTTTTGTAAAAAGATAGATTAAGGTGAAATTAATAGCGCTGAGAACAGTAAAAGATCTGAACACTATTTATTTTTCCTATTCGCCCTACAGTAATAACTTTGAAAAAGGTGTTCCTACTTTTAAGTTGTTTTAGCGCAAACTTTATACTACAGTAATAGGACTTCATCGAGCTTATGAGACTTCGAAATTGTATCGAGAAGTTAAACTTCGAGGTTCTCTTATGAATGAAGACGACAATTTACGGATTCTTCCAATGGAAACTCAATGCGAACGCATCGAAGGCGTTTGGAACTTAAGTGGAGAGCAGGTAAAACTGATTAATGTTTTTAAATTATTTCTTTGGACATTTTAAGCGAATAATTTGCCAGTTTGACAATGTTGAAGGGAACGTTAGGGTGTATGATATTAACGGACGTACGGGTTGTATGGTTCTCAGCGATGAACAACCTTTACAATGTCAGCATACCTTATCTACGCATGAAGAGTGCGAGATGCATGCAATCGAAATTTGGTCAAGCCCTTGTTGTTGAAACCGTTGCACAGGTTTAACTGTTTTATTCCTGGGCTCACCTTTGAGCTGCAAAATATTTGATGGAACTTTTAGACTAGTTCCATTATTCTGTCGAGCACGTTCAGTTTTTTGACAGCTCAGTGAATAAAACTGTGGGGATAATTGCCATCAGTCTTCTTCTTAGGCTTTAATATGAGGATTAAGTAGTAAAATGATCCTGAGTTTAAAAATTATTGGCGCAGCAAAGTCTACCAAAATTTTGACACATCTAAACTTGAATTCCTCTAGTAGGTGAATGACTTTTTTAACATCTTGAAAATACATAACTGGTTTGCAAATTCGTTTTCTGTTTTCTGTTTAAACATTTGCAATTCTTGAGCTAGGGAACTGAGAAGCAATAAAAGAAAACAGTTTAATATCAGTTAGACGACGAGATGTCTCTAATTTTCACCACTGATAGACTTTCAATGATTAGTAATGATTACAATGAGGCAGTCGAATTTTGAACAGACAAAGGTTGCAGTTATGATTGTCTTGCTAAATTATGAGATACTCAGTTTAATAACTTAGTATTGTCTTTTTTTTCTGTTATATATATATATATATATATATATATATATATATATTTCTCTTAAATCACTGTCACAATTTATTATATACTTTCTTTTTTTAAAGCAAGATACTTCTAAAACCTTGTTGCGGAATCAGCAGAGGGCTCTATTTTTGTTTTGCTTAACTCTTGACCCACCAACTATCCAAAAATTACAAAGTGTTCATTCTTTGCTGCTTCAAGACCTAAAATGGTTAAGTCTAAAAACAGCGATATAAGGGCAGAAAAATTTGCAGTTTACGAAAAGTATTTGTATCTAAAAAAGAAGCAGCCTTTTATAGCGGTGTAAAAATTTGTGCTATAGCTGGAGCGGTCTACTAAACGATATAGATAAAATAAATACATAATGCTTTGAGTCAAATAGTCCGACAGAGTTACAGTAAAAAACCTTCAATCTCTCCGCTGTTTCTAGTAATATCAGAGACTTTTCGTCAGTTGACAACGATCGCTAGACGAAAATTTTTGGAACTTCACTTTTCTTGCGTATTGCTCTCATAAGAAAAGACCTTGGCTTTTCCATTCCATGTAACGTCCAAAAGTCAGCATAAATTTTTTGCCGCTCTTCTTCGATCTGAATATTGTCTTTTTTGGCATGAAAGATGAGCTGCTTGAAAAATGAGTTTTAGTTGAGTCAGTAAAGCGATATTAGCTCAATGAGGTTTTAGACTCCGCAGTATTTTCAAAGCTATTTATCCTTTGTAGGATATCCTTTGTAGCAAACTACTTAATCTTTGTACGTAAAGACGTTACTCGGTTACTGCAATGAATCTTCTTTATTTTACCTCAGTTTACCTTTGCATTAAATGTTTCAATCTTTTGTTTCACCATGTCAAGAAGGTTTTTGAATTTGACAGTTTGCAATTAACCCATTTAAAGCAAAGTAGCAAACAGTTTGGTTCCTTTGTTCCAAAATTCCCTTCTATTTTTTTCATTAAAATTAGCAAAATCAAATAAAATTACCTATCATTTGCAGAACACTACATTTGTGCTTGGATTCAGAGTTGATCCAATTGAAAAATTAAAAAATGTCTTCAAAAATATCCAAGTACTACAATCTGCCTACATGTCGAATCCAATTTTCGGAGTGCAGTACAAGCGAGATCGGCCTGTCAGTAAAGTTTTAATATACTAAATTGATCACAGCTGTTTCACACTAACTGCTGTACAAAAAAATTTCGTAGAACAGACTACAGTTATTGAACTATAGAAACTAAATTAATTTGACTGACCAACTAGTTGGTCGATTATTTATTAGGTTGACGAAATTATGGTTGCCGACTAGAAGACAGAATTTGTACACAGATTGAAAAAAAAAATTTGTAAATTACACAATAGAATTGTCAGAAGCGATACTCTCATCTGCTTTTTTTTTAACACTAAACCAGTTTTTTATCTCTCTTAAATAAGTATTTTTTAGGGTTCACCGCAAGCAGTTGGAGAGACCATAGAAAATGATGAAGAAGAGGTAGAACTTGATGAACGACCTCTTAGGCCCGATGCGTTCGCCGTAAGTGTTTGTACAAATTCGCTGTACTCTTTCAGTGTTTTTGTTTTTTTTAGAAACTATTTCTAAGAACAAGGAATGAATTGTTTCTCTTCCTCTTGTGACGACTAAGCCATTACTGTCGTCTACGCAGCACCGGTAATTAATCCTTACACCAAAAGATGCGACTGGCAGAATTAGGGCTTAAGAAAGGAAAGCGATTACAGAAAACGTTTTAACTGTGGCTATCAACAAATAATTCCTATAAACCTCAAAAAATTTCCTCTAAACGCTGTGGTTCAGGCTTATTTTGCTGATGGAGTGAATAAGAGCGAAGCTCGACCTCCAGTCTATTCTGAAGAACTGGGTGTTGCAATCGAACAGCTCAAACCAGGATTCACTATTGCCAACCTTTGGAATATTATTGTTGACTAGAAGTTATTTTTAATATACGCACCGTTCTCTATGACCGGTTTTTTGTAGTTCAAATCGTAGTTTCTTATTTGTTTTTACTTCCTAAGCTAGATTAAATAGATCTGGATAAGACAATCAAAGCAAAATGCTGAATATCTGAAGAATCAGAACAGGCAAAAACGAGCTATAAAAAAACTTTTCCCATTACTTAATCTGCAGACTCAAAGTATTAGGGATTTGGAGTTTTTAAAGTTATCAAGAGTTTTTAGCACATTTCAGCTAACAGTCCAAAAGAGAATTAGAGATATATATTTCTAATAGAAAAAACGATAGTAAGTAAAAGCTTGAAAACGCCCTTTACACTTTAATATTGATTAATCCTAATTTACTTTAAAACTTTCATCTGTTAAACTGCCACTAAAAATAAATCAAAATTTTGACAACGAAATAAAAACATAGTAAGCAAAAGACACAATTCTTTGAATTCATAATTGTATATTAATTAATAGTGACTTGTAATACTAACCTGTTTTATAAAACGTCGCACTTCCTTGTTTCCATTATCCTCTAATAAAAACACTTTTTCCTTTCAGCATCAGCCTAACAAGCGGTAAGTGTTTAATAAAGGTACCCATCTATTTTTTCATTCTTTATCCCAAAAAACCCCAGATTTCTAAAAGAAATGAATTAAGTACAGCTCTTTTTTTTATACTCTTAACTTACTCTATCAAAAGTGCTGGCACTTAGATGCTGGGGTCAAATGCAAAACTGAAGAATTTGGAGCACTAGGAACAATTTAGAGGAAAGTGCCACATTCCTTATTTCACCCTTAAACGCCCACATCCCAGCTAAACTTTCACTGCCAGCATCATAGTGTACTTCAATGCGTGAATAATCTGTCAGTCTATCATTTCCAGAAAAAGAAGTGCGATTACAAATCTTAAAAAAACTTCTTTGCCTCCCTCACCTTGCTTCGATGTGCTTCTTGTTCACCACTTTGTATTAATACTTTTTTACACTTGATGCCCCAAGAGTTTATCCAAAATTTTGCGCTGGTGTTCTTTCCACTTCCTTCTTCTTGTTTCTAGAAGTTTCTCCATCAGAAACAGAAATGAGAAGAAGGAGGTGACGAGAACTTCATTCTTTTCTGATAGAGGTTTCTAACAGTTTCCCTATTTTCCTCTAGTTTTAGATAAAAATTTTAAGTTCGCAATCATCTGACCAAAGCCTTAATATGTACTATTGCTAGAATCAATCTACCACGGAAAATAAAAAAATATTTGTCTGATCACTTTCGATGTCGACCCTGTAGATTTTAATTCTTTTATTTTGACACCGTTCCATTGGTGATGATGGGTGTGTTAAACTGGTTCGGGACAAAATTGATCCTACTTTTTTTTGCAGTATGCAGTTTTTCATATTTTCCGCAAAACTATTTTTCTTTGGCATTAGCAGATACAAATTTTTAAAATCAAATTTCAATGAATTCACTCAGTAAACTTAATTACCCGTTGCTTAAAACACTCACTTATTTGATAGACAAATTTGCCATTAAACCCTTGCATTAAAACAAGCAAAATTTGTTTTTTTTCATTCTTTCTTCTTCGCCCACAAAAAATGAAGTTAGCTCATACGTCGGACAATTTTCAACACTTTTCTTCTGTTGTGATCCACTGTTTATACGTTTATCAATGGACATTGAAAGATTGTTCACATTTATACAGCTTAAAGCGTTTATGAAAAATTCGAAAAATGCTGCAGAGATGTTATTTTTGCTTTATCGTAATTCGAAGGAGCGAAAATGGTATTTTAATTAGTCGGTAAAAAGCGGCAGACGACTATGCTGTAACGGTGAAGGGTTGAGAACGAGGATCCTATATAGAAAACAAAACCGGTCCGATTTTATGGCATACCAGGATACCTTGCGAAATAATCAAGCCTTTTCTAACCAAAACTTCTTAAACCCCATCATCTGCCAATAACTATCGCCTCTTCAACTGAACAAACACTGAGAGGCGGATTGGTGCGAGAGCGGTGTATTAACCAAAAGAGCAGTCGTTACACATTGAACATATGCTAGACGAACGAAAGTTGAACCAGTTTCTGATTTTGGAAGAAACTGATAAACAACGGATTTGGAAAACTGTATGTGAATTCATGAGAATTGGTGTACGTGTGAATAGAAAATTACAGCGCATAAAATCAATAAAAGATTAAGTGAAAAAAATTTTCCCTTCATTTCTGTTGTTTGCATATGCTGGAAATGCCCAATTGTGCTTTCCATCAGTGTTATCACTGTTTCCGAAGACGGATACATATACAGTCTTTTAGACTCTTTCAGATCCTTTGTGCCCACGTAAGAAATTTGCAGCATTATAATGCAGTTCCAAAACGGCATTTTTTTTTTTTTTTAATGAAAAAAAAAAGCTTTTTTTCCTTAAAGTTGCACAAGCTTTCGGCTAGCAACTTCTCTCTTACTTTCTACTTATCCGTTCTTTTATACGAGAAACCGTCCTATAGGTAAACTTTTATAGCTAAAAAGGCTGCTTTATCAAACAAGACAATATCATTGCTTTTTACCAGCAAGCATATTTAAGGCTCAAAATTGAAAAAAAATATTACTTCTGGTCCCGTCAAGACGCTTTAGAATACGGGCAAAACCGAAATAAACCTTGTGAAAAATATGACTTGCTACACATTTCTAAAGATAACAACTGTCCTCAGATCTTGGAAAGGCACCTGTGAAGCAACACTGAAGTGTTAAGGAGAAAGGCAGTCTTATCTGGAGTTAATGAAAATGAAAAGTCAACTCACGAAATTCGCTGTATCTAAGGAAAGATTTAGTGGCAGGGACGCAAATGTAGCGTTCTACAAACAAAATAAAGCACGCTCAATTTCATCTTTCCTTTTGGAATGTAATATCGCTTTGATAAAGTTAAAGTGATTAATTAGAAAAAAGGAAGGTGAATAATTTTCCAAAAAGAATGTTCCCACAATACCTGACTTACCCAGTCGCCGCACTGTATTGTCAGGCAAGTCCGAGCCTTTTCGAGCCAAAGGACCTTTGCCACCATTTTGCTGCTATTAGATTAGAATAGGGGCAGCATTGAGAAATCGTGGGGTGAATTCTCTTAGCATAATGTGCTTAATTTAATTTTTTTACCAGCACTTCTTCAGTGGTCTAAAAAATTCACCTTGAATTTTTCCGAGATGTGCACAGTTCTGGATAAATTCGGTTTGACAAATGAAGATTCGTTATGTAAGACTACTGAAACAGCTTTCACAACTTGCGATTCTCATCAAATTAGTTTTTACAGGAGTGGCATCCAATTTCCAAGACCATGTTTGAAATTTAAACTTTCAGAACC